CAACCCATTCTATTCATCCTACTTGAGTCACATTTTGACCCTGTTAATTATTCGCTTATCAATCTTGACTGTTTTTATGTGAGCGCGTAGGTGTGCGTACACTTCCTATCCCATTACTTATCACATGTCTGTAACTTATTTTTGTGTGACTACAAATATTGAATAACGCTTGACTAGAGGGGAATTGGCTTACCCGCCATGTCCACTGCGCGTCGTTCCGCTTCTTTCTATCCTATTCTATTCGCTGCATATACAAAATGTATGTATATTCAAAAGTCCATTCTCGTTATTTGATTTATTTAATTCCGCTATTGGCGAACGCGATTTGAGTCGATGATTATATACGAGGATAGGTGATAACAAACATTTATACGATCTAGTTGGAGTCAGATCTCGGGTCATCAAAGTGGAGAGCTCTTTCGACAACATCATCCGATCTAAATGACGACAAAATAATAGGCCCCACAAAGGTTTAAAACAAGTTGTTTTGTGCGCATAAATTTTGAATCATTTTATGCCAAAGGTTTCTGAATAGCTAGAAATGAGGGTTTCTGACAATCTCTGCGCATAGTGTGACCTGCCCCAATTATTTTTGGCTATCTATATTTGAAGTGTGAAGTAATTTGATTCTCAACCCACGAAAAAACTAGAGAGCGTTTAATAACTTGTGTTAGATCCAATGTAAATTCGTCGATACGCATTACTAAAGCGGCTTTAGAGTGAAAAGAAACTTCAGCTAAATGCTTTCTTTCTTCTCAAGTTTATGTGACTTCATAAAGCAGAATCTAAAGTTTCATACGACAAACTGAAATCGGTTAGTCATCCATTGACAAACAGGAAGTACTAGACGGTTTTTCGTCTTAGCTTAGGGTTCTCTCATGATAACACTTGAGATAACAAAGACCATTATGTATTGAGCATCGTATTTAACCTTCAGAGAATCAAGTTACTGCCTAGTAGTTCGGATTTTCAACTTCAGTCAATCCACGAAGTGACAGTTTCTTCATCCATTACCTTTAGTAATGGTTATCTGACACACGATATGTTTGGACTCTATTGATCATGACTTCTGACCAGAATTCCAGGATTTACCTCTATGACTCTAATCACTAGTAAGTACATCATGAGAACTATCACAGAGTATTATAGGATGAAATAGTTGTCCACTACTTTATGGTTTCTAATAGTAGTTTAACATGAACCAGTATTTGATTTGAAACTTCGGCAAGAAACTTGTTTTTCTCAATAATAAACTCAACACTAAATAAAACAACACAAGTTAGGTATCATACTCTGAATCGATTTCAAGAACTATATTTATCCAGGATATATATCACCTACACTATCTTTTAAGAAAACGTTGAACGATAGTTCATTCTCAACAATAATCTTATATATAGTGATATAGCGAAACTCCTGATGTTCATAAATTTTTCACACAATAAATGGAAACTATCTAAAACTGTCTACGCAAAATACTTCGGATCCGTTGGCCAGACACTATCAGCAACAATCTACTGTGGGAGAGAACAAACCAGATCCCAGTGGAGGAAGAAGCGCTGAAAGTGGATAGGACACACAAAGAGGAAAGCACCCAACTGTGTCACAAGACAAGTACTCACATGGAATCCTCAATGCCAAAGGAAAAGAGGAAGACCAAAGGACACACTACTCCGAGAAATGGAGATAGACGTGAGAAAAATGAAAAAAACTGGCTAGAACTAGAAAAGAGGGCCCAAGACAGAGTGGGTCGGAGAATGCTGGTCGGCGGCCTATGCTCCATTGGGAGTAACAGGCGTAAGTAAGTAAGTAAATCTAAAGCTGGATATATATAAGGTACCATGTAAATAATACAAGTACCGTGAATTACCATATTAATACAAAAAATACATCCATAAGTCTATAAAAACACTCTCGTAATTGATTTGTTTTTACTTGTTAACAGATTTATTCCTGTTGGCTACCCCCAACTACTTAACATCTTAATATAGTACACACAATTTCGAATCAATTAAGCTAATCCTAACTGTTATGACTTTATGTCCGGCTTTTTATCACGTGGTTTATCCACCAATCAAAATACGACTTATACAATCTTCGCACTGTGCCAAAACCAATGACGTTCGACCGGTATGGGCAGTCTAGCGTCCTTATTGGTCCTATGTCCGCCTAGCCCGTCCACTTGAATCCACAACACCAAATACCAGCTTCCACTATGCGAATCAAATCGAATCATTTATTCCAGACATACTGGGTTTATATATTAACCAAACAGACCGCAACGCACCATAAAATAGGATATAACCTTAGTGTACACAATAAAGCCAAAACGTGACTGTAAACGTGGGAGGCAGTAGTCAATAAACTGAACATAACTTAAGAACCATAAACCGTACAATACCAAAATATAGGTCAAAATAGAGCTTATACTAAGAGGAATATAAATATACATAATTATTGAATAATGATACCATAAGAATGTCTAGATAATTATAGTCTATTAATATGTCTCAGAAGTTACTAGTGATTTAATCTTCGCTCGGATATAACAATAACGTCACAGAATTCAATTCAAACTGAGAACTATATTGATCATTACTTATTGACCAATCAACTGAATCCAGAATAATTGATTAGTAATGTCTTAGACTATGTAACTAGTTAATATGTGTTTCAATCTTACAACGAGTATCAATTCCATCATGATTGAAGATACACCTTACTGTTGAATACTTACTAACAAAATAAACTTAGATCAACTTAATTATTCTACCGATTACTTCTAACCATTCAATATTCATAATGGTTCTTTACTAATGTTTCTTACAATTCTAAGACTTTCACGCCTCCACCCCTTCCAATTCCGTCCTTGATTCTTCATTTCAACATTAGTTGAAATATACTACTTATTATGAATAAAATTTAGTTTAACTATGAATTAGTTTATTTAATGATTGTTTTGTGTATTTACTCTGGTTTTATTGAATCAAAAAAAGAGAAAAAAAACACACACACACACACACACACGCACACTCAAATAAGAGATTTTGATTGTAAACAAATGAGCTACTTTTTATTTTGTAACTAAGATGTTTTTCTTTAGAAAAAAAATTTTTTTTTCTGGTTTCTGACCCACTTATTGATTCATATTGATCATGTATTATTTACATATGAATAAATTAAAGATAATCATAATGACAAAGCAACAACATTCATGTTTATTTAGGTTGCATAGAATGTAGGTTTCGTTTTTTTTTTTTTTAAAGAAGTAACGACGTAAAATATTAATTTGAAAAAAAAAAAACGAGAAACTACGTTGCTAACTTTTTATTTGATAAAAAAAGTGGATTATTATCAGAATGGCAGGGGAGGGGCGAGGTTGTGATGATTGTAGTAAGTTTTACTAGTTGAAATCATGACTTGATTATAGCTAGACTCATGATTTCAACTATTAAATGACTATAATCTACACAAAATCCCCATTGTGATAATAAATCATCATGTGCTCATTAGTGAATGATTTCAAAATGGACTTCTTGGAGTTCTAGTGATAAGATGTGATCAGTGAATTTTAATCGTGTATGTTATGAGGTAGTAACTCATTGAAGACAATGGTGGATTAATTGAAGTCAGACATTAACACAGTTGGATGCTTGTCGGCTCATAGGTCTAGTGGTTAAGCGCTCGCATGCGAGAATCATAGGTCTCGCGAGGAGGGATCGTGGAGGCGCAGTGTTGAGAAGTCCTATATTAGAACGAAACGGCAGCACAGTGCTTCCAGATTTTAAGTAGTGTATATAAATTAGGGTATTCAGTTTAACGTCATCACATTTTTAAAGAGTTAATAATGCTTCATTTGTAACCATCTTTATCTCGTCTTACTATGGGACAGAATATGGTTTCGGGATTTTACGAATCAATAAAGTCAGAATAGAGATTTTGTGGAGATGCTAGTAATTTTAACAGTTGAATTCATAAGTCAAATAACCGCTAGCCCACCACTGAAAACTTGGAAACACTGGACGGACGTTTCGTTCTAGTATGGGACTCCCTAGCAGTGCGCAACCTTCACGCGAAACTTGAACCCAAATTTTTTGCTCTCGCGCGCAAACACTTAACCTCTAGACCACTAAGCCGGCATCCAACAGTATTAATACCACACAATAGAACGAAACGGTAGTCCAATGCTTCCAGGTTTTTCATGGTGATCTAGCTTCAATTGACACATGATCTTAGTTGATACATTTACGATAGACAATGTCAACAAAATCCTCCTCTGGTATTATTTTTTATTAGTTGAATTTATGAGTCAATTCAAACTAAACCATCATGGAAAACGTGGAAGCACTGGACGGCCGGTCGTTTCGTCCTAATATTGATTTGAATTATGGAAAATATAAATTCATTAATCTTACTGACTGATATGTTACATAAAAAATTAAACTAATGTCAAATATCATATTAGAAATAAAATGAATACAAAACATCGGTAGTTGACAAAACAACTTATTCATAAAGTCTTGGACTGTGAAGCTGAGTTACTCAGTTTCGATTGTCATTGGAAGTATCGATTCCCTTATAGTTATAGATATGAATTGTTGACGAATATCAAACAGAAAAAAAATACCGAATTCCCTTAGTATTGTTTACTTGAATCTTCCCATTGATGTGTTGGTTCAACAATTGATCAGTCACTTATTGGCATATATACATATTGTACGGATTGCCTCGATACTATCTTAAATCACAAGCATTATAAACAAAGATGGATAGTGGCTAGCAGTGGAATCCACGACGCGCGTTTCGTCCTATTTAGGACTCGTCAGTTGGATGTACCATCTATCTCTGCTTATAATGGTTGTAACGGAAGGCAATATAAAAGTCATTCGTACAAGATCCACATATATCAATATGAGACTGATCATTTACAGTCTTAAACATCAATGGAAAGGTTAAAACAATCAACAACAACAAATTAATTAAACTAACAAATGACTTACAAAAAACAATGTGCCGCTGTCATTATCCATTGTGGATGTATTAATGTACCACCGCATAAATGAAAACGTCTACCACCATCTGGATAATTATAAACAAGTGATGGTGGTATAAATGGATCAATTTCATCTAAAATTATTTCATTATTTTTACTAATTTCATCTAAAAATTCTAATTCTTCTTCATCAGCTTTGGTTTGTAATTCTTTTTGTTTTTTAACTTGTTCCGCTGTTTGATAAAACATTAATGATGCTAACCATGGCCATTCACCATAAGCTGTAGCACTACCTCCAACAATACGTTTATTTATTGCTTTGCCAAAATATTTACGCCATTCATAATCAAATGCATTACGACCACAATGTTCAGGGATTTTTTCTAATAATATAAATAAAAAAGTATTTATATAGTAGGAATCTTTTGGGGATTAAGGAATTTTTCAAGGTTTAAATCACTAACTAATCTTGACTTGATCATTATTAAAAAGCTGTGAGTAATGAAGGATAATTTCGTCTTAGTATTGGACTCTTCAGCAGTTGATATCCACAACCATGCAAGCGAGACGAGAACTTATAACGTTTAGTATTGCGAGAGATCGGTTTACTTCTAGACAACTGAGATAGGATATAACGATAATAATGTCTAACTTTACCTATGACCAGTTGAGTTCAACTGAATATTTATAATTATCAAGTATAAAAGAGAAATCACTAAAGATCAAGATGCGTCATTCTTTTACATAAATTATATCTAAAAGACACAATGTGCAGTTCTCAAAAAAAAGAAAGAAAAAAGTGTGAATATCCTCTCATTGATTGAATGTTGTTTTATATCAGAAAAGGTTTTGTGGAGATTGTAGTAATTTCAACAGTTGAGATTATGAGTCAATTGAAGCTAGACCACTATGGAAAACCTGAAAGCACTGGACGGACGTTTCGTTCTATTGTGGGACTCCTCAGCAGTGCGCGTTTACGACAATGCCTCGTGGGGTTCAAACAAAGATTCTATCAGTCTCGCTCCAGGCGCTTAACCAACTAGATCACTGAGCTGGCATCCATTGGTGTTAATGTCTAAATTCAACTAATCCACGAAATTGAGCGACACATCCACCATTGTCATCAGTGAGTTACTACCTAACAACTGACCCGGTTGAACTCCACTGGTCACTCCTTCTCACTAGAACTCCAGGATATACCTCTTGAAGCCAGTCACTAGTGAGCATATGTTGATTATTATCAGAAGGGGTTTTGTGGAGATTGTAGTAATTTCAACAGCTGAGATCATGAGTCAATTGTTTTATAATCAAACAATCGAATGAACAACACATTTAAGCAAATGTCTATTTAATTTTAACTGAGATCATGAACCGATCAATGTTAAAACACCACTGAAAATCTGGAAGCATTGAACGGCCGGCTCTTCCTAGTGTACAACTCCTTGTTAGTGTGCATCTACGATCTCGCACGCAGAATTCAAACGCAGGACCTTCGATCTTCCTCGCGAAAGTTTAATAAAGTGTGGCACAAAAATGATGATACATTTTGTTTCTTGTTAATGTCTAACTTCAACCAATCCACGAAGCTGCGCCACCGTACACCATTGTCTTCAGTGAGTTGATATCTCACAACAGACCTGGTTGAACTCCACTGATAACGGCTTCTCACTAGAACTCCATGGTGATCTAGCTTCAATTGGCTCATGATTTCAACCAGTGAAATTTCTTTCATTTGATTACATAAAATCTGTTCCTTCTTAACTACAGGAAATATATTTGTTTTACAAATTTTTCGTATGGTTACTATATTACGTCATATATTGAACTTAATTCTATCGTTTGATATTTAAATGAATGAACGTTGTCTAGTTTAGGTTTTTATTTATCATTATCGAATATTAATTACGTAATTAGTTGCTTAGTTTCCTTGTTATAATGATTATACAAAACTGTCCTGTTGTGTATGTGCATGGAGGTAGTCGACAGGAAACCCTGGACTCGGGTTTTGTGCTACTTGGCACTCGTCAGCAAGGTGTACCTGTAATCTTGAAGGAGCTGGTGCTCCCTGGCGGATTCGATCTCGCGTCATCCAGCTTCACAGTCTGAGGTGTTATCACTGAGCTATCCAAGCCGCGACATGGTCGATAGCATTCGATCTGCACTACTAAGGACAAGAAACACAGGACATCGATTACCACCTAGTGATCAATCAATTGTGAACGTTTACATCATTTTTACACTTTACTGTTATGCGTTTATATTGACTTCTGGCTGATATTGAATTGTATGCGTAATTTCAATTTTTTGTATAATTTAGGTTTTGAAATAGATGTGAGTTTATCTATCCGTATTCCAGTGTGCACCATTCGTGTCTAGCTTTAATTGACTCATAAATCCAATTATTAAATTATTATAGCCGCCACAAACCCACTCTCTCATTATAATCATCATATGATCACTACTGACTGTTTCCAAGAGGTATTTTCTGGAGTTCTAGTGAGAAACCGTGATCAATGGAATTCAATCAGGTCTGTTTTTGTGATGGTGACTGACTGAAGTCAATAGTGAACAGTGGCGTAATTTCATGGAATAATTGAAGAGAAATATCAACATTTTTGGATGCTGGACAGCTCAGTGGTCTAGAGGTTAAGTGTTGGCGTGCGACATCAATAGATCCTGGGTTGAAATCTTGCAGGACGGGATCGTAGGTCTGCACTGTTGAGGAGTCCCATACTCAGACGAAACGGCCGTCCAGTGCTTCCAGCTTTTCAGTGGTGGCCTGGTTTAAATCGACTACACAAACCCCTAATCTTATAATAATTTTAAATAAGTACAGATTAAAAACAAACAAAAGTTAATCACTATACTTCACTTAATTCACAATGACAGTTTTTCATGGTTAACTGATATTTATCAGTCAATTATAATATGTGTTAAGTTTCTATCCTAAATCATAAGTTCAAATTTTATGCAATCAAAGTAATTAATCTAAACTAGTTCAGTTTATACTACTCATAAATATGTATATGCATATATAAGTAGTATTTTACACTTCGGTTAATATTTACATTAACAAATAGATATGTTTATATTACTAGTGAGTAGTTTTCATTTAACCATAAAAAATAACATTCTGTTGACATATTCATCGAAATCAAATGACCTTAATCTTTTAAATGTGAATAGTTTAATTGAGAAATATTAAAGTAAATGATTGATAAGCTTCATTTAATAATAAAAAGGAAGAAATCAAATGAAGTATATTAGAATGGTCATTGTTTTAATCGAATTAATCAAGCTTGAAATTAGATAGTGAGTTTATGAAACTTTTATGAAAGTTTTGTTTATGCATTTTAATGATTCTAAGTTTTCAGAGTATTGTATGAAGGTGAAATTTGGAGAACTACCATAACTATCATCAAAATCATACATGTATTTAGAAACAATTATCTACGTAGGATACTGAATGTCCGTTGACCGGACCTACTGTGGGAGAGAACAAACCAACTTCCAGCTGAGGAGGAACTTGAGAAAAGTCATTGGAAGTAGATAGGACATACATTGAGGAAATCATAAAACTGCATTACGAGATAAGCGCTAACTTGAAATGTTGAAGAGAAACAGAAAAAAGGAAGGCCAAGGTACACACTGTGTTGAAAATTCAAAACAAAGAGGAAAAACACCTGAAAAGGAATGTCTAGGATGGAGAACGTTAGTCGGCGGCCACTGCTCCTCCACGATGGATAAGAAGACGTTATTAGATAAGTAAATGAGTAGATTTTATTGTCGATTCAGACGAAATCATCAATGTCTACTAAATGAGTCAAGTGTAACCAAGTTATATCACCGAACAAATACTCATTCTCACTTGTCACGAAGTTGTAAATATCTGTTTAAATGTAAAATCTTAACACAACACAAAGATCTTGATCGATAGAATTAGATCTATGCTAAATATCTAGACATAAATGAAATTCTGTACTATTTTGTAGCCAGTCACCGTATATATCTCCGCTCTACAAGAGATGGATTGAAGTTTGAATATATCAGTGACATTATTTGCAACTAAAGTGATAGGTATCTCTGGTTCGAATCTCATATGGAGCATAATTTCCCCGCAACATTATAAGTACACTTTACTGATAAGTATCAATTGACATGGAACTAAGTTCCAGGATTTGTTGCTGACTACCTTCAGCAATTTTCTATTTTACATCCCTTTTTCGAGATATCAATATTTTAATTTCCACTGGAATGAAAGCTTAGGAGGAAAACTAAATCAATAAACAAAATCACCAAACATCGTATGTTTTACAGAAATGTATAAATGTAGTGAAACTAACTTACCTAATGTAAATGCAAATCCTTCATGTGGCTGTAAAATTGATTCAGAAAGAAGAAAGAGAGGGTTAGAGAGGTTTAGCAATCAGAAACAAACATAAATACAATCGAGAACCAAATAAAAATTGACAACAATCTCATTGCTGGTACACCCAGCTGACGAGTCCCAAATAGAACGAAACGCCTGTCCAAGATTCCATTGCTAGCCACTATTCATCTTTTCTTAAAACGCTTGTAACTTAAGGCTATATAGAGGAAATCCGCACAGGATGCACATATGCCAACATGAGACTGATTGATTGCAGTTCTAAATAACAATGGGATAATACAAGTGAAACGACACCAAGTGAATTTAAACTTTAGCCCATTGCAAAAGCAGGTGGCTATCAGCACTCAGTAGCTAAGTGGATCATGCGATGTAATTTGAAGAGGAATGTACTGGGTTCGAGTCCTCGAGTGAACATCAATTCTGGGATGCAGGCACATCGAGCTGACGACCCCAACGTAGGACGAAACGCGCGTTCTGGATTCCACTGCTAGTCACTAAGCGAATTTGCTTAAAAAACCCAGTATAATAAGTAATTTTTTCAGTTGAGCACAGTATGAATTGAAGAGGTCAAGTATACAACTAATGTGTAGACATAAAAATTTAATAGATTGGTTACAGACTTTTCTTTTCTTTGATAGTGAAGTATCGGGAATTTTTTTTCATTTAGAAGATTATAACTGTTAGTCAGCTTATGTTCTTTAGTATAAAGACTATTTCATGAATAATCGTCTTCTTGAAATAACACTTTCTGACAATTCAAGGAATACGAAGAACTCTTCAAATGAAAAGTAAATACCTGTTATCAATTTACTTTATCCCTGTGGTGGGGTTAATGTTAAAACACCAAACACGAACGATCTCTGATCCGTAAACATTTTATGAAACTTTATTGAAGACTGTTGAAAACAGTACTTTAATTGAAGTGGTTCATGATGTTCATATATGCGCCGTCCAGCTTTAATGTAAGATCAAAGTTATGATTGAATAAATCCCTTCAGTGTCGCTACTAGGTTCACTGCTTCTTGTGAACTATTAAAAAACACCTAAAATCAGAACAAAGTGCATGCTATACCTTAGATTAGTCAACCTCCTGTTGCACTCTCAACTAAACAATTCCAACAATGACAAATGTATGATAAAATTATTACTATAATGCTGGTAGTAAGTAACTCTGAAAGTATCATTGTTATGTTTCCTAACTTCTTAGTAGTCAATTTTATACAGAGATTGTTAAAATAAAGAACTTACACTAGGTTTTACATGGGTTTGTGTTTATCTTATTGTTTATAATTAACTTTAAGTATTTTAAATCAGAGTGTTTTCACGAGAAAAAGTAATTAGTGGTGTTATATCCTAGTAAAGATTAAATAATAAGTAACTTCTGAGAGCGATGAATGGACTAATGTTATATATAGATTCTTATTGCGTAACTGTTGAGTAACTAGACTGTGCATATTTATATTCCTCTGAACTGAATGATGTTAGACCACAATTGAAAACCTGGAAGCACTGAACGGCCGTTTCGTCCTATTGCGGGACTCCTCAGCAGTGTGCATCCACGATCCTGCTCCTGGGATTCCAACCCAGTGGTCTAGAGCTTAAGCGGTTGCGCGCGAGACCTATAGGTCCTGGATTCGAATCCCTCAGGCGGAATCGTGGATGCACACTACAAAGGAGTCGCATACTTGAAGGAAATGGCCGTCCAGTGCTTCCATGTTTTCTATGGTGGTTTAGTTTCAAATGAAACATGGTAAAACAGTGCCTATTATTTCATGAATCAGAAAAGAAATGATTCGATCAAGAGTTTTATTTGAACCGAAAGTAAATGAAACAATTTATAGATTCTGAAACAAATGGTGTCAATTTATCAGATAATCTTGCTTTCACTGAACTCTAACTGTTTTTGTGTTTATCTAGTTTTTCAGAGATGATAGAATTCTGTTGACTAAGTTAGATCATGGTTAGTATATCAAACTTAACATTATGGCTGTGAAGCTGAATGTAGTGGGTTTAAATCTTAGACGGAACATCAATTTGTTCAAGACTATGGATATAACTTTCTATCGACGCTTCTTATCAATTATCTGTAACTACTTAAAACAAAATTATTTTCGTTGCTTGATGGCAAGAAACTTTACTTTCTGATTGAATCAAGTCCCAAGTAGACGTATCAGTTACATAGCATATAATGAAAATTAATCAATTGCGTTGTAATGAACGAAGACCCAAGTAAGAGAAAACCAATGTATTTTAGTACAAAATTAGAGAATCTCTTGGTAAAATATGAGAATCATACATTCAATACTTCATATGCAATATTCCACCATTTGTTCTTCATATTCTTTATACTTCCACCAAGTCATAATTCTTTTCTATTTCCGTTTTGTTTTTTTCTCAAGTCGACCTTCACAGCCTCCTGTTGTCAGGTTTTCCGCTTCTGCCTAGTGCTATATACTACTTATGTCAACAGTCATAAGTGGTATGTATCCCATTTCATGCAAAAAAGCTAGACATTTACTATCATGATCATGATTACGCAATCTGATATGTGTAAATACGCAGATATATCAAAAGTTTATTCAGTTTTTACAGATAACTATCGATGATTTTCGAGACAAAAAATCCATCCCCCCCCCTCTAAAAAACCCCGGTAAAAATGAACGAAATAAGAACCATGATATGAGAAAAAACTGTAACATCAGTTGTATCTTATTTCTGTTTTCTCGGTTATCATTTATAATAGATCTACTGAAAAGTGAATTTCAATTTCATATGATGGTAGAATTTGAGCCATAATACGAGTTTTGTTTAATAATCAAATAGTAGATTAGTGTGATAAGAATTCCATGATTGTATTTACATACATAATGAATCAAAAACTTGGTTAAATTACATGAATCGCACAATACATTTGTAGAATATAAGAACCATATATTGAATATATCATTTGCATATATTCCTTGAATTATCCCTAAAAAAACTCCATCGTCATTTTATTTTTGTTGATACTTGATCTGGTTCAGTTCTTCCTCTCTCTCTCTCTCTCTCTCTCCTCATATTAATTTTTTTATTAGTAGGAATTCTACATCCAATTCTTGATACATACTAACTATCTCTCTCCGTTTAAGTGGCGTACATCACATTCGTTCCCTCTTCAATAAGTTGCACTAGCCATCATTCCACTCATAGTACCACAGAACTTGTCATAGTCTGTGCCTCACTGCTTGTCGAAATGTTAAGCCTTCCGGTGCGCCGACCTCCGTAGATAAATGGTCTGCTTCTCTTCATGGTATGTTTCGAAATAATAATAATGGGATTTTATAGTTTACGCAGACTGACCATAGTTAGACAACTACTGAAAACTTGATAGGAATAATGAATTGTTTTTTTTTCTAAAAGGTTTAAGCTTTTCATAAACGGATATACATGACCAAATTAGGGAACGAACCTAGAACGTTCAGTTCTCTTAGCTGAGCTTATTGATCTAGAAGTTAACAGTAAGGAAAAAAGTTATTTCATCATATGAAATCAATTTAAGACAAAGATAATCTGAATAATGAATCATTCATTTCAGTCAAACAAAAACTAAACAAGACAACTTATATGCAAAGATGGATAGTGGTTAACAGTGGAATCCAGGATGCGCGTTTTGTGCTATTTGGGAATCGCCAGCTGGATGTAGCTAAGTGGATAACGAGATAGTGTTTTAAGCGAACGGTACTGAATTCGAGTCTTAGAGTAGACATCAATTCTGAGATATAGTTATATCCAGCTGATGAGTTCCGAATAGGACGAAACGCACGTCCTGAATCCCACTGGTAACCACTAACCACTATGCTTGTGAATTATGGCTATATCGAGGCAATACGCACGGTATGCACATATGCCAATAAGCTACTGATCAATTGCAGTTCTAAACATCAATGAGAAGATACAAACAAACAATACCAAGTGAATTTATAGAAACTTATATATTGAAATACTGAACAATGGGTAAGGAAGAATTTGAGATAACAACACACTGTTAATGAAGTAGAAAAAAAAGTAATAAATTGAAAACTTAGTCATATTTTGGAATAAACATTAGTTCATTAGGTCAATATTAAGTATTTTCGTGATTTCATATTGATCAACATTAATCACTGAAGCATATTACAAATAGTAATATTAGTAGTAATAGTAATATCAATATTATTATTTAAACACATAATCATTGGTACAAGGAGGCACCAAATACATATGCGCCACATAAATCATTCGATTTGTGTGAGGGCTGGGATACTGCCCCGGTGACCAGACTGAAGCAGGTGGTTTTCTTGGGGGGCCACACTCCGATCCTTAGACCTAAAGGTCTGACGCACGAGGCAATGGAACATCATGAGGAGATGCAGTCCCACGGTAGCCGGTGACCAACGATTGGTTCATACGCCATTTGTTCTCAAAGGATAGTGGAGCCCATGTGCACCATTGGTTTGGAACCCGGTTGAAGCGCCGGACATTCGCTTTCCGTCCTCTCAATTTCGTAAACAACACCCTCCTCACGAGAAGGCGTATATATATATTATTGGTAAGAATTGAATTATTAAAACGTTTGCATTTAGAATAGAGTTTTTAGGTAGCCTTTATTAAGGTTTGTGTATAGTGCACGAATTGACTGTGTATTGTCTTTTTATCAAAATTATTTATAGAATAGATGAACTAAGATAAGTAGTAGAATCTAGACCGTACATTCTGCCCCATGTTTGGATCCTAGTATTCATGTTCACATTAAGACTTAAACTGAGTCTCTTAAACTGAAACATCTATTGGGTTATACTCTAATTGTCTGAGTGTAAAAAATGACGTAATTCAAAACTAGATTGTTAGTTCACATGGTATTGTTTACTTGAATCTTCCTATTGATATTTAGGACTACAAATGATCAGTCTCTTATTGGGATATGAGCATTCTGCGCATATTCCCTCGATAAAGCCTTAATTCACAAG